AAGCCCTTAAAACATATTTCAAATAGTCTATTTGAACTATGTTTGTAACTTTGTGAGTGGATGCGTCTCAAAATACATTTTAGATACAACTCAAAACACAGTTAAAGTACCCTATTTAAAAGTATCATAATTACAATCAGCGTAAAAGCCCTTAAAACATATTTCAAATAGTCTATTTGAACTCTGTTTGTAACAGTGTTAGTGGTTCTATGCCCAAAATACATTTTAAATACTCTATATTAATCATATTTATTAAGCAAAATACATTGTGAACTGATGAAAGATGTTTTCCTTTACATGAAATACAATTTAACTACACTCAAGATATATTTCAAACAGGGGCGAAAATTTAAATTTTTTTGTCAAATAGTATTAAAATATAGGAAAATAGCGTTCAAATACTGAAAATACATTTTAAATACATTAAAATCAGTTTCAAAATACATATGGTTTGGTAAGGGTAGGTCGAGCGTTTGATATAGCTTGTCAAATGTTTCTTGAAGAAATGTAGGACGTAGTTAGTAGAACAGACAGGCTATGAAGTCCGGCAAACTTCGAAGATAAAAACAACGCTACTGCAGTTTAAGCTTGGAGCTCCCTGATGGTGCACAAACTTTTCTTTTTTTGTTGTTCACAAAATAACTGTAACTGAATATATTAATGCCACGTTTTGGTGAGAAAAACCAACGGAAGTTGATTGACCACTCCAACATCACTGTAGAAAGGCATCTCAATAATAATGGCCTTCATATAAATAAAAAAGGAACCTCTCAACTTGCTCGTAATTTTTAAAAATTTATTAAGCATGAGGATTGGGATACTGCGGTTTAAGAGCCTGAAAGACAAGTGCTGAAGGATAAGAAGTGTCATGTTACGACACGGGGAAAGAATAATATAATATTGGTAACAACTCCTTCGGCCGAGGCTTGGTGATGGCGTCTCTTAACATAAATAGCCTGCTAGCGCATATTGATCAGCTTCGCGTACGTCTAACTGCTGAAATTGATGAAACGAAATTATACTTACCCGGTTTTGAAATAATAAGAAAAGAAAAAGGTGAACGGGTGCAACGGAGGTGGTGTTTGTAAGTGTGTGCCCTGTAACCTAAACTATAAAATTCCCGAAGACTTAAGCACTGAAAAGCTTGAATGTTTAGTTCTAGAATTTGTTTTTAGATTTATCGTAATTTCTATTTTTTTTTTCAAGAGTATTCTTCAAGAGTATATTTTTTTCTTCAAGAGTATTCATGAGTTCAAGTTGAGAATTCATATAGAACGTTATAACTGACTATAGAACAAGGTGATTGAATGAAGCGTAATTTCTTCCAGAAATTGACGAATGCACAACTAACTATCACAGATGTGATGTGAATGCTGCTTGCCAGAATACCGTGGGCTCATACAAATGTACTTGCAAAGCTGGATACTCTGGAAATGGCCGCAAATGCGTTGGTAAGTACTGAAGTTTGCTTTAAACATCTTCTGACTTAATTTTTCTCTGTGTCAAGTTTATATATAGACTAAATAAAGATGTTGTTTGTTAATAAAAAAGTAGTTTCCATGTCTTTAGTATTTTTTTAAGGACATCATACCGTATTTACAGTGCTGTAATTACGTTTTTCATTTATCTATTGTTGTCGTTGATTTCTTATAAGATCCCAGTCCAAGGTGGCAAAAATAAGCCACCAATCTTTAGTGGGTATTTAATGGGTTTTGAGTAGCTCTATTTCAGTATAAGAATACTTGCACTAATGTGTGGAACAACGTTTTACACGGATTTTCATTCCTTCAATCAAAACAATTACCTCAATTATTTGTTTTGATTTTAAGAATTTCATCGGTAATAACATTACATTCTGATATGATTAAAAAACATCATTTCAGAGGCAATAGAAAGGCCCAAAAGGGTCCGGCTAAATAAAGGAAATTCGGAAGGGAATAGAATATCAAGGAAGATAATGCTTAATATAATAATGATAACAACTTTTTCGGCCGAGGCTTGGTGATGGCGTCTCTTAACATAATTAGCCTGCTAGCGCATATCGACCAGCTTCGCGTAGCTATGTCTAACTCTGAAATTGATATACTCTCTATCAATGAAACGAAATTATATTTACCAGGTTTTGAAATAATGAGAAAAGAAAAAGGTGAACGGGTGCAATGGAGGTGGTGTTTGTAAGTGTGTGCTCTGTAACCTAAACTATAAAATTCCGCGGAGGACTTGAGCACTGAAAATCTTGAATGTTTAGTTCTAGAGTTTGTTTTTTTAGATTTATCGTAATTTCTACTTTTTTCTTCAAGAGTATTCATGGCATGAGTTCACGTTGAGAATATAGTAATCTCGGTAAATCATATAGAACGTTATAACTGACTATAGAACAAGGTGATTGAATGAAGCGTAATTTCTTCCAGAAATTGACGAATGCACAACTAACAATCACAGCTGTGATGTGAATGCTGCTTGCCAGAATACCGTGGGCTCATACAAATGTACTTGCAAAGCTGGATACTCTGGAAATGGCCGCAAATGCGTTGGTAAGTACTGAAGTTTGCTTTAAACATCTTCTGACTTAATTTTTCTCTGTGTCGAGTTTATATATAGACTAAATAAAGATGTTGTTTGTTAATAAAAAAAAGTAGTTTCCGTGTCTTTAGTATGTTTTTAAGGACATCATACCGTATTTACAGTGCTGTAATTACGTTTTTCATTTATCTATTGTTGTCGTTGATTTCTTATAAGATTCCAGTCCAAGGTGGCAAAAATAAGCCACCAATCTTTAGTGGGTATTTAATGGGTTTTGAGCAGCTCTGTTTCAGTATAAGAATACTTGCACTAATGTGTGGAACAACGTTTTACACGGATTTTCATTCCTTCAATCAAAACAATTACCTCAATTATTTGTTTTGATTTTAAGAATTTCATCGGTGATAACATAACAGTCTGATATGATTAAAAAAAACACCATTTCAGAGGCAATAGAAAGGCCCAAGAGGGTCCGGCTAAATAAAGGAAATTCGGAAGGGAATAGAATATCAAGGAAGATATTGCTTTGTTATTTTTGGAGAATTACAGCGTGTAATCGGTGTGTCATAATTTTGACTTTGTTTTTTCAGATATAGATGAGTGCACAAGCAAGACCCATAACTGTGACAGAAATGCGTTATGTAAGAACACTGAGGGGTCCTTTACATGCACCTGTAATCGCGGTTACAAGGGAGATGGGAAGAACTGTAAAGGTATCTTTCTAGCGCTCTTATAGACCCGGTTCAGACGCCGAACTTTTCATGAACCGAACCTAATACGTTAAATTAGGTACATGAAAAGTTCGGCGTCTTAATCAATTGTGCCCGGTTCAGACACCGCCCCACTCATGTCCCGAACCTAATTGATAAATTTTAAGTAATGATCCGGGTAAGGTGGATAGCAGTTTCTTTTGTTATGCGGCAACGGTGCTTTCCCCACATAGGAATGTTCTCATTTTTACACAGAGAATGCATAAACCTACGTGAGGGCCGTTTACTCAATAAAATGCATTTACACTCCACTTTGAAAAGGTGTTTTTTGGGTTAAAAGATTTTGACCAATCACAAGAGTTGAAAACAATAGCCAAGAAAAGTATACAATTTTACATGTTCCCCACATAGGATTTCTTTGTTCTTCAAACTGAGACCAGATTTTGTTATATGGAAGATGGTTGGAAAGTAAGGATGAATATATGTACTGCTTTATGAAGTTTTGTTAACTTTTGCTGCTTAAGACAATCAGAAGTAAGTACAGACAATAGAAAAATTAGCACCTTTTTTGCATTCTAATATGTTCGTTGCCGTTGTTGCTATCGTTCTTATCTGGATGCGAGCGTTTGAATCAATTTGGTACAGCCGTTTTAATTAGGTGCGGTAGAAACGTCAAGGTCGACAGAGTCTGTCAAATTATTCGACATTGGAGCGGCATGTGATTCATACGGCGCTCCTCTCAAGTGCCTGAACCTAATGCATACATGCATACATTGAATTTATAATTTTTCCCACAATACCGCTCGTTTTTACGTAGTTGCCATGCCCAGAACACTAAATTGAGAAAAAAGCTGGGTGAAAAGGGACAATCTTGTTCCTCTTGCTTTGAGAAGGCAAAATATACTTGTTCTGTCCTCGAGAATGATGAAAGGTCAAACTGTCAAGCGGCTGGAAAGCATCCGGCCGGATAGTAGCTAGTTTTCATCTTCAGTGAAGAAGAAAATCTAGCTAGTATCCGGCCGGATGCCTATACAGTTTATCTACAAATTTAGAAGGTCAGAAATGTTGAAAAAAGAAATTAAGTTAAGAACAATTGAATCGCGAAAGGTAATGCCTTTTTTCATATGCCATAACGTATTGATTTCGCGAAAATTGGAGAGATAAGACCCCGTGAAAACCTGCCACGAATGTAACAACGAAATTAACTACCGACCAGGTTTTAAAAACTTAGTCCTACTTTTCTTTCAGGCGTTCCTTGTCCACAGGGCTGGGTGCGATTTAAGAGATACTGCTATCTTGTCAGTAGCTCCATCAAGACTTGGCAAAATGCCCAAGCTTTCTGCAAAGGACTGGGAGGAAATCTGGTGAAAATAAACAGCCAGGAAGAAAACGAGTTTGTACTAAACCTCGTAAACAAGCTCGCCCCATCGCTGAAGCAGATTTGGATCGGACTCGAGTGGGACTCTCGCCTAAAGGCCTTTGTGTGGTACGATAATTCAGTTCCTACCTTCACCAAATGGTCCCCAAATGAACCAAATGGAAATAGTCGAGAGCCTTGTAGCAACATGTGGACTGGTCACGCAGGGGTTTCTTATAGGGCATCTGGCGACTGGAATGATCTCAGTTGTTGGAATACTGGTTTACCCTGTGGTCTTGTCTGCAAGAGGCTGCCCTAGATGTTAAGCCAGCTTCATTCTCGATCAAAGCCGAAAGTAGAGTGTAGTGGAAAAATTAAAGCAGATTCTGGGTCGACATTTTAAAATGCAGAAAAGAAAACATTTTAGTGCTAATTTCTAAAGGGTTAAAAAAAAGCGGCTTGTGACTGAAATAAACATTATGTATCCCTTGTTCAGTTCTTGTTTGTGTTTTTCCTTTAATGTAGAGAATTCTTTTTATGGTCCATTTACGTCTTTCACTCACGAAAGTGGACAAAATTAAGTCGAAATTTGACATTGGTTGCAGGTCTAAATCAAACCTATAAGAGAACAGCGAGCAAAAGGAGATAAAAGGGGGAAATTCCTCATCCAGACATATTTATTTTTTTCTAGCGCGCACGCTTTTAGCGGCCAGAAAAAAGCGTTTACTATGACAAACAGGGTGAACAGTTCTTTCAAAAGATAACTTTCACAACCACTAAACATATATGCCCTTGGTGTTATAGCCTTCTAATATATTGTAAAATTCACGGTGTCAACAAATGACGAAACATTGAAAGCAACTTTGACAAATGTGTAACAAGCCTTGTAAAGATGAAGTATAGACTAGCTTTCCACAGGGTCCAGAGGAGTTTCGTGTGAATAAATAAATTACTTAATTAAAGTCTCACCTTGAAAAATGTCTATACTTGTCGCTTAGCACGATTAATTAGCCCAGTGGGATCTTTATGAATCTACCGTAAACGATTTCTTCGCTTCTTATGTCTCTTTTCTGACCCAGATCGACTTTGTTGTTCGCCATTTTGAAAATCAATAACCGCAAGCCATAGCCTCGCTGGCGCACGGCACGTCGCCCGAAGGGCGACCTAAGGCCGTCGTCCGAAGGGTGACCGAGGCACGATCTTGCGAGCCCTCAGTCTCTTGGTTTGCGGTATACAGAATGTGTAACGAAACTGTAACGTGATCGTCAACGCGATCAAAATAACTCATTATTTCAGATGTTTTCGACGGGGTTTGATGCTCTAACGACAAACACATCTCCTCTGGACCCTGTGGCTTTCGTTTTTTCCTGCAAGCGTTTTGAATATTTCCCAATTATTTTGTATCGTTTCCATCGGGCCTTCGGCCATGTTTAGGCCGATTTTAAACTTTCCTCTTTTTCACAAACACGGAGCTTCGCTGGAACTTTACCATCTTGTTTTTGAAAAAAGTTTACAAAAGGGTTTTTAGTGAAATTAAAATTGAAGTTTTTGATCTGGCGCCGGATTGTCGATAGTAGGGACCTTAGAATCCGAGGACGGCGACGGCAGAGAAAACGTCGCTGAAAAAGTGAATTCGCGTTCTTTCAATCTTCATCGCGATTACTCCAAGTCACTAACTTTGTCAAATGTAGGAGAACCCTCATAAAGTTGAAATCATTAGCGCCATATCCAAGTTCAGAAAGAGAGAGGATATTTCATCCTCGCTTGTATACTTCCTCTGTACATCGTAAAATTAGGCGTTTTCACGTCGTAGTCGTGCAGTGACGGCAAAGAAAAATGTAGAAAAATGCGTGATGCACGTGCAAAAATTGTTGTTTTGCTAATTAAACCTATTGCTTTTGTGGCGTTCCCGTTGCCGTCGCGCGTCGTCGGATCTTAAGGTCCCTAGTTACGTACGTACTAACAACGGCTTCAAAGTACTAGGTTCCCAAAGAACCGATCGGAAAAGCGCAGAAACCATGCAATCCATGTGGACTGGGCCGGAGTTACCCTACCTGCCTATCCGCGCCTCTGGCTTGGTCTTGTTTGCAAGAGGATCCCTTAGTTGACAAGCTGTCTTCATTGATGATCAAAGGCAAAAGTAAACAAAACTCGGGAACTTCGATGGAAGAAACAGGTCAATATAATGTAAAAGGAAACTACAACTGCATCAGGGTCTTCACAGCCTGTCATTCACGTGTTACAAAACCGCCATGCTAGAGAGCAAGAACAACCCTCACAGAAGTCGTTTAGCCTTTCAACCTTTATCTGTAAATAGTCTAAAATAAACAGGAATTTTGTGTAACGTAAGCGACGTCTTAATAGTCATTCAATATATACACGCGTAATACTTGAAACAAGAACGCTCTTGGTAGCGTTGAGTCTCGGTTGCTTAGAGATAAATTTCATGTCAGCTGGTGCTGTTATGCTACTTTTTCGTTAGAAATACAAATCGAGTGTTATATGTCATAATGTAAATACTTAAAAATTAAGATTTGCAAGGAGAGACAGGCCGCACATCTTAGCTTCACACCGGTGTGAAGCCTTTGAAAACCTTCTGTATATTGATGTTGCTCTTACAGTGAGGAGAACTCTTTCAGGGATTTACACTCAAAAGATTGAACGATGATTTTTATCCGAGTATAAATATGTATAGGTTCTATGTAGCCCGGTATGTAGCCAACAAGATACGGCTCGGTACAGTTTTTGTTCAGCACAAGAAAAATGTTTAAGTTTAGCAGAACCTTATACGGCAACAGACAGATCATTCAGTTCGCGCGTATTCTTGTTGAATTTGTTGTCCGTGTATTAAAAGATATCAAAATTGCGTGAAAGTAATTACATTTTCCTTGGCTGTTTGGTATCTGCTTTAAATATCTTCGTACAGTTGATGTTTACGTACGCGATCTCAGAGTACAATGTTTAGAGCTGTACACAGCGTGCATTTTGTCACGGTATCACTGGAATAAAGCGTTTAATTTTCCGGGAAAATTCCATTTTCTCGTCCAAAAAATCACTGACTCAGTCAGACTCGGAATAGTGTACTGAAATTTAGTGCTCAGTACAGCGAGCAGGGTTAATTTTTTGTGAAATTTATCTACTGTTTGCGGCCCACATCACCACGATCCACGATTTTTTCAAGTTTTTTAAACCAATCCTCGATCCCCCATCCCCGATTCTCGATCCCTGACCCTCCATCCTCCAACCTCTATCCTTGATCTTTGATTCTCGATCCTCGATCCTCGATCCTCCTTTTCCAGTAAACTTCCGACCCGTTCGGGAAAAGCTCGATATGGGATTTCTATTCTATGGACATGAAGTGGTGCAAGTAGACCGAGTATAAACACATCCGGACACATACGTAACGTCAGACGCGTAGTTGAACTTGCTTCCAGTAGTGCTCGAAGGTTGAATCAATAATCAATAATATTTATGATGCTTTTGTCGATGTACATGGTTAATGTTACGAGAATAATGTGCACTGAACTAGTATAGGAAGCTAAATGAACCAGTTGGTTTTCTTGTTAGCTCCCTAAACAGTTTAGGTTCTAGGTAGCAGGTGTTGCGGAATTCTTATAACATCGCTCAACACGATTTAATCCAATCCAACAATCTACTGTGATGTATAAT